CTAGACTGCTCATACAACAACCACCAAACTAACTCCAAACATCCAAACTATACTACATTAAGTTGCTATTATCTTTCCCAACTAATCCGACTCACGGTTTTCCGAAAACTGACCCGGAAAATTCTGAAAAGTCCCATTGACTTAACATTGGACCAAACTTTGTGACCTCATAACTTTGCACCAGACTGTCATACAGACTTAAGATTGGGCTCATTTAACTCAGACTACCAATCTCCCAATCACTGATGACCTTTCAATTTACTAGCCACACCCTAGCAACCATTTACAGCACCCTAGCAACTGTCCCATAGACTTCCATTGTAAAAAACGGCCATTGACTTTACATTGGACATACCAACAACATACTAATCCATACTAACAATATACTAATTCATACAAGAAACATACAAACATACTAACATATTAATCATACTATAAGCATACAAACAACATACCAATCCATACTAACAATTTACTTGTCCATAGTAAAAACATACTAATGACATACAAATCCATACTAAAACATACTAACAACATACCAATCTATACTAAAACATACTAACGACATACCAATCCATTCTAGAAACATACTAACAAACATACTAATCACTAGAAACCTACTAATGCCATACTAATAATACTAGAAACGTACTAATGACATACCAATCCATACTGGAAACATACTAACAACATACTAAACACACTAAAAACATACCAGAGCATTTTACAATATACCAATCCATACTAGAAACATACTAACAAACATACTAACAAACTAATCATACTATAAACATACTAACAACATACCAATCCATACTAACAATATACCAATATATACTTGAAGCATACTAACAACATACCAATCCATACTAACAACATACTAATGACACACAAATCCATACTAAAACTTACTAACAACATACCAATCCATACTAAAAACATACCAATCCATACTAGAAACATACTAACAAACTACAAAAATACTAACAACATACCAATCCATACTAACATTATACTAATCCATACTAAAAACATCCTAATGACATACAAATCCATACTATAAACATACTAACATACCAATCCATACTAACAATATACCAATCTATGCTAAAAACATACTAACAACATACCAATCCATACCTGAAACATACTAACATACTATTAGCTATTACTGACAGAACAACAGCCATTCTCATTATAACATAACAGCTTTTTTTAAACTATAATTAATTGTGTAACTAAGAGAATCATAAGATTACTAGTAGAGCTATGGACTTATTGAAATGTTGATACCGTGACAACACTAATACACACAAATACTCACATTATCATCAGATGTTGTGACACATCATTCAAGAGTGAGCTTCAAACAACCCTCACCATCATTACACAGCCCAGCTCTCGCGGAACTTGCCAGAAAACTGACTGTGTTGAGTCCACTGAAAACCGCTCGGCTGCTCTGCCAGAGAAACAGAGCTTTGCTAAAGCTGGACGGCCACATGCGAGTTAACATGGGTCTCATTTAGAAATTGCTGTGGCTCAGAGCGGATGGGTGACGAATCATGTGTGAGTGGAGGGAGATGTGCCATCAGCACTTCATTTATCCTCCCTCGTCTCTCTAGTCATTGACCATCAATCCAAACACCATCTCACCATTTCATCTGAGACCGTTACAGTCCTGGCTGCTTTCAGCTATCCAAAAATGTTTTTCCTTAAAGATGGCACACCTAAAAATTCAAAGTCACTCTGAAGATGATCTTCGCTGTTGTTTTTTTTTTTATTTTGCAGAATTTTAAAAACCAAAAAGTTGATGGTGGCCATCAAAAGCCCCTTTCAAACAGTGATACCAGCAAATATTGTAAAATATTATAAAGTGTGAACCGCAGCTAAATGTTTACACATTTGACTATATTACAAATTCTGTGGATAAGTGTTGTGAACAACTTCGATGAAAACATGTGGAGAACCAATTTTACATGTCGAGATGTACATAATGTGTGTGCGCTCACCAGAGCATTGAAGGTAAACAGCTATTTATCAAAAGAATTTCATCAATAATTTATATTACAACTTACGGTTATATTACAACTTCTCTTTCCGTAAAATTGCCGGAACTAATTTACCGGTATTTTCCTGTTTACACATGACCCCTTTCCGGAAAATGGCGGTTATTTTCCAGTAAGGTCTGTATGTGTGAAAGGGGCTATAGTCTATAGTAAGTGAAGCAATACTAAGAAAGTCAATGGGGTCAAGTCGCAAAACAAATATAGATATATAAAAAATATAGATACTCATTACTATTTTTTAAAATCAAATTCTGTCAATGAATGAAACTTTCTTGTTCTTCTACTGTTATTGTAAAGCATCCTTAAGCACTGGAAAGGCGCTATATAAAATAAGTAAACATTAAAGCAGCAGAAATGCTAAATTGTATTAGAGGCGCATAATATATTGTTTCAGCATTGATATCGCAATGTGCGAACCTGCAATAGTCGTGTTTCAGGACCTGCAATGTCAAGCTTGGATTAAAGTTAACCAGAAACTACAGTTCAGATCACATGAATTGCTTGCAAAGCTTAACCGTAATATAATAGTATGAAAGATTTTTATTTTGATGCGTTTTAAAGGCCTATGAGTAAGGTTTCAGGTGAATTTAAACCGGAAATGATACATTTTGCCATTTTAACAAAAGGATTGTGTTTTGTTTCATTTATAAAACGTGTGAATGGACAAAGCAGCAGGCTGAGCACATTGTAAAACATCTAAAATGAAATTTTGGTCATTCTAAAACACCTTAATCATTTCAGTATTAGTGTTATTATCTTATTAATTACCTCCAGAACTGTCAAGAGCCTCTGTGCTCTGCGTCTGTCTTCTGAGGCGCAAGTCATTTATTAAATAAAGAAAAGACTGATGCAGCAGCTTCTACCTCAATAAATTCAGTTTTTACTGATGATATTTGGTAGCAGTTAATCAGGAAGTGCTGATTTTTTTTCTTTGACTTATTGGATAGAAATGTTGCTTTATTCACACGTCTTTTATGCAATATTCCTGTTTTGCACATACATTTAATTAGCCATTTTAGGTGAAAACAGCTATTGTTCTGTTTTTATTTGTGCTTTAATTTGTTGATTTTATGTGTTTTTGGTTAATTTGATATATTTTAATGCACATGCTCTCACCTACAATATCTCAACCTAAGTAAAACAATGAATTCTTTCCAAATAGAGTTACTAAAGTTATCTTAGTGCCAGTATTTAAGGGAGCTCCTGGTGTATTATGCCTCCTCACGTCCACTACACTCAATTGATTATTACCAGAATATCAAAATCAACTGTAGGTGGTAGTACTTTCTCATAGCTGGCACCTATACTCTGGAACAGCCTTCCTAGCACAATTCTGGAAGCAGACACACTCTATCAGTTCAAAACTAGATTAAAGACACATCTCTTTGCATGAGCATACACATAAAACACAAATGCTTTTGAAAACCAAATCCTCTAAAGGACTGTTAGTCTGCATTATTTAGGGCGACTGAAGCCGGGAACACTTCCCAAAAGACATTATAATTTGAACGGTATCTGCGCTTATGTTGGTCTGTTTTTATTATCCCCAAGGTTTGCATAATCCTGGACCAGGCCGTATCCTGAGCAGCTGCTGTGGTGGTCAAGAGGAGTGGAGAGCATGAGATTGATTCCTGTATGACCAGTCAGGACATCAGTGACAGACGAGTCTTCGCGTTGATCCTGAAGGGCCAGCCTGTATGTCAGCAGATGACCTCTCCTCCTGCAGCTTCTACACGATGGACATCCAGCATTCTTTAGCCTCCGGCGCCTAGACTGCAGCTCTGCACTAGAAGCTTGACAGAGGAGAAACTGTTGTGCCTAACTCAGCCTGGATTTTCTTGAGTTTTTTTTCCCTTCACTTTCGTCAATGGATGAAGTTTTGTCCTCGACGTTGTCACCACTGGCTTGCATGGTTTGGGACTTGTGGAGCTGTGCATTGATGGATTTTCTCGTCAGCGTTTGGACGTTCACCAGTGAAAATTAAACCACAACTGGACTGACCAAATTGAACTTCAACACTGAAAACTGAACTGACGCAGTCTCACTTAACTATAATCTTCTATGTTAAGCTGCTTAGACACAATGTACATTATAAAAGCGCTATAGAAATAAAGATGAATGGAATAGTGTAATTATATATTTATATCGCATTATAAATCACAAAAAAAAAAACGAAATATTGCAATGTCCAATTTTTTCCAAATATCATGCAGCACAAATTGTATTTTTTCAAATATTTTAGTATCGATTCCTAATAAAATACAAATACTGACAACTTTTTCTGTTTATTAAAAGATAGAAACTCATAAAGGCTCGGAACAAGTGCAGTAAAGGTGACAGAATATCCATTTTTGGGTAAACTACTTCTTTTACCCTCGATGAACGCAAGTGGGCCTGATTCTTACGCACATGACCTGCTTTTCTCACTTTTCTCCATTTGACACACTTTAAGACATTACAGCATGAAGAGAAGGGACACATAAAACATACATTATGAAGCAGAAGTGTTTGTGTGTGCGTGTGTGTGATAGCCAGCAGAGCGTCTGTGGGGTTTTCCCCTCCTAAATGAGTCAGCAGAGTCAATGCATGTTCCCATGGACCCCTCTGCCCCTCACCAGGGAAACCTGATCCCTCTTTCCCAGCCTGAGATTCACTGCCACATGCACTGCACAGAGGAAACCAGGCCTCTGCATATGTGTGTGTGTGTGTGTGGTCTGTTTGAGAGGAGAGTATGTGTGCGTATGTATGTGTGTGTGTGTGGGGGGGGTGGATGTTGAAGGACAGGTGGAGAAGTGGATGCATAGGCTGTGTGTCCAGCAGCCGGGAGTGTCTATCAAACTAACTGTTGCTCAACAACTGATTAACCCACAATATTTTAATGCAAATAACAAACGAAGCATTTCGATTTGCATGTGTGTGTGGAGCTGTACTGACGGTCAAAGTGACGGTGTCTCTGGGTGAAGGTGCTCTGCAGGTTGGAGCTGAGCTGGTGAACGGGAACTTTCAGGTCTACGTGGCTCAGCTGACTCAACTTCTCCTCCATCTCCAGAGTACAGCAGGAGAAACCTTGAGGACACACCTTCAGATGGGCTCCTGGAGAACACACACACACACACACAGAGGAAGAACATCAAGTTCAGCCATCTTAAAAAGACAAACAGAAGGACAAAAGCATACATCTATAATTTACCTACATCATTTAAACATTTACTTGATTACGTTACAAAATGTCAGCTTTCACATCATTGATTTGTGTTGGGGAAACATGAAAGAATGAAGTTAACTTGGTATTTACAAATTTAAGTGGATTCAACATAAAACAATTAAGTTGTCCCAAACAAAATGAAGATTTGTGTTGTTTTAGCTGATTTCAAATAAGTAGTTTGAACAAACATCACTTTTAAGTGCATATGATTGTATTTTATGTAGATTGTTTAATAGAAATGCTGCATAATTTACATTTGACTAACTTGTGTTGATATTTTCACAGTTTAATTTACAATCACAGAGACACACACATACGGACAAGAACTCTTAGGGTGCTTTCACATCTATAGTTCCCTTCATTCGGTCCGGACAGAGGGCAATAAATGATACATTGTTGCATTTTCTGCCGTCTTTGGGTCGTTTTCACACCAAAATGCAGTCATGTGACAAAATCCACATCATTCATTGGCCGAATGTTGTTGAACATAGTTCCTAAACTGCTTATTGCTGGTCAGAATTCACGTGCGGGAAAATTCCAATGAACTCCCGCAAGCAAACAAACCGGCAGACACAAAATGTCGCTTTTTACTATGGAGGGACGACTGCGCTGATTGACTGTATCCCACCTTTAGACAGACTATACATTTTGAGAATGAAGTGCGACCGCGGCTGAAAAAACAATGTTTTAATGCATCGCTCGTCACTTCAGAGGAGGCGTGAATTAATTTAGCTAAACTGCGACATGGTCATCTTGCGGAAATATTACCAACGATCCATCAGGTAATGTCCCCCCCCGTCCCTCTCTCTGTGTTCGTCAAGTGATGTCAACAAATATTTTTCCTCCATATCCCATAATGCACAGCACATCGGCCTACGGCTGCTGGATTAGTCCAAAAGGCTTTTTGCAGTTGGGTCTGTTTTAGTTTGTATCATATTCTCACCTCAAACGAACCGCTCCAGGGTTCATTTGAAACCGTACCGAGATCACCACTTCAAGCAGGTCTCGGTATGCTTTTTTGATCCGCTTTTGGTGCGCACTCGAGTATGATTGCTGCATTCACACCTGCCCAAACGAACCGCACCAATTGGGAAAACGAACTCTAGTGCGATTCAACCAAACTAAATACCGCAGATGTGAAAGCACTCTTACCCAACCCTTAACAGTGACAAAAAGCAAAAAGACACCATTAAGTATGATTTTAAGCTTTTTGAAATACGAAGACCACCTTAACAGAGTAAAAGTAGATCACACCAATGTTACTAAACAATTTTGTGTCCTTGTAAACCACTTTAACAAGTATGCACACACACAAACTCATTCCTGAGACTTTCTAAAGCCACTATATATTGTTAAGATATAATGCCTAAAATAATTTCTATTTGTTTTATTTTATTATAACACATTTAGATGTATTTTATAAAATATATTGACGAATACGCCTAATTTAAAGTTTTGCATCATTATATAATTTAATTAGTTAAAAAGTCATTATCTGACTGCCAATGAAACTCTTGAAAAGCTTTCGAGTACCTCGAAATCTGAAACGCTACTGTAAAAATACAAAGAAACTAAAAAACAATCTGCATGCTAAGTATTAGGTGTAGAGAATATGTCAGCTGACAAACCACAGGCACCTGAGATAAAAAGCCAAACTGAATAGTCAAGAGCCTGTAGACAGACATTTCAGCCATTGGTAAGGAACCCAAACTTTCATCATTATTCGCTCCATCAGAAAACAAGTGTGCGCTGCGGTCGACAAGTGAAACACACAGATGGAGCGGCTGGATTAAACCAGGCGTCACATTAACATGGGCAGTGTGAGCAGGCCGGAGTCGCAGCTGCAATAATGTTTTGTTTTTCTTTTTTTTTAAATGCAGTTGTTGGAATTCTGGAGAACACAAGGGTCCTTTCAGTGGACTGGACTCCGACCGGCGGTTTGGCTACTCGTGCTGCTCTTCAGCGAGACTGGCCACTGCTCAGCGATGAGAGATCTCGGCTCTCACTGCGCATATATATTCAGCTCCACGCTTTTTATATTTATTCAGTAAAATTCAGATTTTTTGAAAGACAGGAGATTCCTTTGAGAGATGACTGGGGCATGAGGAAAGGATGGAAACATTACAGGAATTATCAGTGTGCCTGTTGAATATAAAACTAGCTTTTATTCACCAAAAAGACCATATATATATACAATATATATGTGCATATTAACATTTGTGGTTTTTATTGACATAGATATTGTAATATATGTTACTGTATGGTTTATATTATAATGTTTTTGAAATAGCAGATTTTTATTCACATTAAGTAATTTGTTTTTGCCACAATGTTAAGATAAAATTTTTTTTTTTAATTACATGCAAAATTACCTAAAAATTGCAGAGAAGTGAATTTAATTTTTATAAAAATATTATTATTATTATTAAATTATTTAAGTTACAAGTTATAATAATATATAATGATTGATTAATAATGATTAATAATAATATTAATAATTATTATTATTGTAATAGTAATACATAATAATAATAATAATAATAATAATAATAATAATTATTATTATTATTATTATTATTATATAATTATTAAGATGATAATAATAATTATTATTCTTATTATTATTATTAATAGTAGTAGTAGTAGTAGTAGTAGTAGTAGTAGTAAGATAATAATAATAAATATTTTATAATAAAAATAATAATTATTATTCTTATTATGGAAATAATAAAGATCATAATAATAATAGTTATTATTAAACAGCCATTATTAAAATAATAATTTAAATATTTTAATTAGATCAAATTAAAGTATTAGAATTTAGAGTTCAAATGTAATGCAATTAATAATTATAATAATCATTATTATTACAATAAACACTCAATGCTAATTATTTATGTTTTATTAAAATAATAATATTAATAAAACATTTATATTTTACATTTACATAAGGTGTACAAAAAGTGTATCCTATTCTGTAATAGGCGCAACAATCTCTGTGACACGACTCGAAGCATCTGCTGAACACATCGGCGTGGGTGAAAATCAAGAAGCTGTTGAGAGCTTACAAATAATCACCATCCCACAAAATATCCAAGAGGAATTGTCACCAAGCAGTGCCAGGGCTTGTTTTACAGTAGGACAGAGCAGAAACCGTGTGTCTAATGTCGTCAGGGCATCTTGTGCATGGCAATGGCCTGCTTTGTAACAAATACAAACAATTATGATAAGGTTGGTCATGACTAGAGTCAATATTAATCTTGCTTTGCAGAAAAACATCCACATGTTTTACTTTCACGCATATAAAGAGTCTGAAGTGACTCTGAATTTGAGAAAGGAGCAGCACCTTCACCCTGCTGCGGCCCCAGACCAGCTGTACCCCTCAACCCCACCCAGACCCCGTCCAAATCACTCACTCACTTTCACACACTTGGCATCAGGTACATACTAGACCTGTACACATCAGTTCTCAGCCCAACAGACAGCTCTTTGTACATGGACGTTTGGAGAGAGAGAGAAGCTAACTTGGAAAAGCAAAGCAAATGTTCCAGTAAAAACACTGGAAATTTAACCAAATTTAAAAGGTCCTGCAAACTACTAAATGAAGAAAACAATTCTGACTATTTCAACACAGCTCATTAACAAACCAAAACAATCAAAGGAAAGGAGAACGTGACTTTAGCAACACATTTCTTAAGCTATATTTACTAAAAAAATGGGTTTAACGACATTGATTTGTGTTGGGGCAACATGAAGGAATAAAGTTAACTTAGTTTTTACAAATTTAAGTGGATCAAACATAAAACAATTAAGTGGTCTCCCAAAAAACTCAAGAATTGGGTTGTTTCAACTCACTTTAAATAAGTAGTCTGAAAAAACATCAGACTGATCATACAAAAAGATTTTTACAAAAAAGATTGCATGTTTGGCCAGAAAACATTACGACTCAACACTTCATTTTATTCAGAGTGATACTTTTAATTTGTTTGTAATTATTAGTAAAATTGACAAGCTATTTCTGTGTGAATATGGCTCTAAAGAGAATCCCACATTATGCATTATCTATAATGCATTAAAAATACAGTCCTCTAGAGTTTAGACACAAGTCATTTCCCCCTTACAAATTTTCCCAAATTCCTAAATTTTCAAAAAGGTTTTTATCAGTCACAATTACTTTGTGTTAAACCAAACTGATTTTTTCGGGCTATCCTTTAGATTTTAAAGTTTAACCAAACTGATTTGTCGGGCTGTCTTGTAGATTTTAAAGTTTCTGTGTTCATGATATACCAAAGCTCATGAAGTGGGTCTTAGTAGCTTTTTCTTCTCTTATAAACGATACTGGAATTTAGTACCAATCGATAATGTTTAATGCTTTTTTTTTTTTTAAGTTTTATGCTATGTTCACACCAGACGCGGTGTCCGGGGGAAAGCCTACAGCCGACACCGACAAAAAGTTCATCAAACTGGGCTGGGCTCAGTCAGAAGCACTGCTAAAAGCCTCCAGGAGTTTAAGAGCTCACAGAGCTGGATGCACCTCTAAAAGAATCTAGTGGACTCAAGACACGGCCCTTAACGTATCGACGCTGTTTTTCAGCCTTCATAAAGCACATAAACAGTTATTTTCTCAATAAAATCCATGTTAGCCATTTAGCTATGAAGCTAGAGTCACCAGGCAGACAGAAGCCCTGCCCATCACGCGAGTCCGCGTCTGTTCTGAAGTGAATTTGACGCGCGAACGAAGCGGATTTGACGCGCAAATGAAGCGGGGTTTGATGCGTGAATGAAGCGAGTAAACTCAAATGTTCATGAGGCTATTTACGCATGAATAGCGCGATTTATCCGCGCATTCCACATCTAGTGTGAACGCAGCATTAAAAACCCATTTCTC